GGCGACGCGGGAGATGCATTGCGCAGGTCGGCGCGCTTGGTCTGGGGTTGCAGGTGCGGCGGATCGATCCAGAGACGGCCGAGCCGGTGGCCGCGCTGCAAGGCGCGGCGTCGTCGAAGTCTGCCGATGCCTTCGTCGCCGCGCAGACGTCCGCAGGAGGTCGTCTCGGCTGAATGTTCGGCGCGGCAACGTTGAGTGCCGCGCGCGGCGCAGCTGCGCGCGCGCTGGATTCCGAGCTGGCAAAGCTGGGTTCCTGGTTGGAATCCCGAGGTCTACGGTTAAAGCCCCGCCACGCGCGCGCGCGCGCGGCGCGCGCCCGTCGACCGACGACAACGCGTCGCCGCTATTTTTCGTCGATGGTCAGAGCCCCGCGCGCCGCGACCCAGACGGACATTTAAAGTCGCCGACTTGCGCCGCGACCCCGGGTGATTCGCCGAACGTTTCGTTGGAGTCTTCAGCGGCCGGCCAGAAGATGCACGCGGCGTGTATCTCTAGCGCGGCGGGGGTAATGGCGCCGCGCGCCGCGCGGCCTGGCAGGCATTGTCGCGCCCCCATCAATCTGCCCATTGACTCCAAGCGCGCGCGTTGCATGTCTTAACCCATCAGCCAGACCAGCCTTTTCTGGTCCTGGCGTTGCACTCTTGTTTTTTCCCCATATCCTAAGATGGGGTTCTTGTTATTACTTGGACGCCTCCTACTCCTCCTCCTTCCTCCTCCTCTTTTCTCCTCCCCTCCTGCCGGGCTTACTCATACTCAGACTTGCTCATGCACAGACTTACTCATACTCAGACTTACTCATACTCAGACCTACTCATACTCAGACTTACTCACACTCAGACATACTCATACACAGACTTACTCATACACAGACTTACTCACACCCAGCCGTACTCATACACAGACTCACTCATACCCAGACTTACTCATACACAGCATTCGTCATACTCAGACTTACTCGTACCCAGACGTACACATACACAGACTTTCTCATACACAGACCTACTCATACCCAGACTTACTCACACACAGACTTATTCATACACAGACTTACTCATACTCAGCACCCCTAAGGGGAGCCGCCAGGGGTGGTTGCACGGGCTCGTTCGCGGCCATTTTGTGGGGATGTCTCATGCGGTTTGCCTGTTTCTGTGCCCAGCATCCTTCGCTTGGAGAGCAGATTGTGAGGATGTCTCAGGCGGGGCGCTGGTTTCAGCACCCCTAAGGGGAGCCGCCAGGGGTGGTTGCACGGGCTCGTTCGCTGCCATTTTGTGGGGATGTCTCAGGCGGTTTGCCTGTTTCTGTGCCCAACATCCTTCGCTTTCGGAGCAGATTTGGAGGATGTCTCGAGCGAGGCGCTCATTTCAGCACCCCTAAGGGGAGCCGCCAGGGGTGGTTGCACGGGCTCGTTCGCGGCCATTTTGTGGGGATGTCTCAGGCGGTTTGCCTGTTTCGCCCAACATCCTTCGCTTTCGGAGCAGATTTGATGTCTGCGGGATGTCTCGCGGCCATTTTGTGGGGATGTCTCAGGCGGTTTGCTTGTTTCTGTGCCCAACATCCTTCGCTTTCGGAGCAGATTTGGAGGATGTCTCGAGCGAGGCGCTCATTCAGCACCCCTAAGGGGAGCCGCCAGGGGTGGTTGCACGGGCTCGTTCGCGGCCATTTTGTTGGGATGTCTCAGGCGGTTTGCTTGTTTCTGGGCCCAACATCCTTCGTTTTCGGAGCAGATTTGGAGGATGTCTCGAGCGAGGCGCTCATTTTCACCCCCCAGGTGGGTCAGATTTTGAGGATGTCTCGATCGGTTTGCTTGTTTTGGTGGCCAGGCTCGTGGGCGCAGATTCTTCTCAGGATGCAACAGGAGGCTCCAACAGGCTCCAGGAGGCCCCAGGAGACCACATGAGGTCCCAGGAGGCATCAGGAGGCCACAGAAAAATTCAAGAGGCCACAGGATGTCCCAAGAGGCTCCAGGAGGCCCCAGGAAGCTCCAGAAGGCTTCAGGAAACCACAGGAGACCCCAGGAGACAACAGGAAGCGCCAGGAGGCCTCGGAAGGCAACAGGAGGCCCCGAGAGGCCCCAGGAGCAGGAGGCCTCAGAAGGCAACAGGAGTGGCTCCAATCCCATGTGTTTTACGTATGCTCCTATCGATTGGGCCTCACCTGGAGCACGATTCTTTGATGTTCTACGTATGTTTCTATAGATGGTCCTTCTCCTGTGTACACAATCCTAAATGTTTTACTCATGTTCCTATGTATTGGGCCTCTCCTGGGGCACGAGTCCTTGGTGTTTTACGCGTGTTCCTATAGATTGCCCTTCTCCTGTGGCTCTAATCCGCAATGTTTTATGTACGTCTGTTGCTATAGATTGCGCCTCCCCTGGGGCACGAAACCTTCCTAGGAGGTCCCAGGAGGTCCCAAGAGGCTCCTGGAGACCCCAGGAAGCCCCAGTAGGTTTCAGGAGGCCCCAGGAGGCCCCAGGCTCATGCACAGAGACGCGCTCGTACTACTGAGGCTCATTCACACTCCAATTCATTCGCAGTTGGATTGATGTCCAGACCGTCACAACTGAAGCCCGCTAATATTCGAAAGCTCTTGCGCCTAGACATTCACGGCGGACAGGTCCATGCGAGTAGATGCACATATGGGGAGCTCTACGCAGTGAATAATTTGGTTTGCCCCTGTGCATCAAGCGTCCATCCGGCTCATGAGATAATGCGGTTTGGCGCGCAGCCCGACCCTGCCTGGGCATTTTCTCGTTGGCGCGCGCGGTTCTACCGCGGTCAATATTTGGGTTATGTTGCTCGTCTCTCGCGCGCGGGATGCGCGCGTAGCGCGGGGCGCGCTTTTTGCCGTCGCGCGACGCGCGCGTGGGCGCGCGCGCGCAATTCCACGCCGTTTAAGAACCACGGCTGCCTGCAATTCGAGGCCCGCCCCATCGCGCTCGCGCGAAAAACGCGAGCCGCTACCGCCGAACACGGGGCGCAATTGCACGTGCGCTTGCCAGAGCTCACCGGCGCGAGGCCAGCTCCGAGAGACGCGCCTGCCTCCACTAAGTCGACGAAGATGCTGAGCGCGTTTTTGTCGTTCGCATCCACCGCGGCCTGCGGCGTGCACGAAGGGCATAACGGCGCGACTGGCAAGGGCGGGGAGCACGGGGCGAAATTTCTCGCGATCGCCGCGACGGTGCGAAGGCTCACTTTTTCATGCGAGGACGCGGAGTGGAGATGGTCGGGCGCCTCAATAACGAAATTGTGGGATAGTTGGTTTTCGTGGCAAGTCAGCTGGTCTGGCCAAAGCATTGCCTCGTTCGTTGTCGCGCGCGTCAGGCCCCCCCCCCCGCGCGGCCGTTTTTTTGCGACGTGAACATAGCTGGGTCCCGGCCGACCCGCCGGCGCGCGATCCCGCGCGCGGGCGCCGCGCCCGTCCGATCAGTGATATAGCACTGGTCGGCGCGCGCGCCCGACGCGGCCCCTGCGCGAGTCATATTTCGCCAGGTTATTATGCAGTGGACAGTTCTTGACGTTGTGTGACAGTCGAGATGACAGCGCCCGCGCCACGCGCGCTCGCGTGCGCGCGCAAGCCGAAGGCGTTCAACCGCAACGGCGAGACAGGTTTTGTCTGGGCTCGGCTCCCGAGGCGCATGTTGGGGAAAGTCAGTCCATGCTCAATCGAGTTTTGGAACACGTTGTTCTGGCTTTAGACTCGCGCCCTCATCGACGCGCGAGTCTGAACCCATCAACCCCGGCGTCCCCACGTATTTGGTTGCCTGGGGCGTTGAGGCGGGAGGGTTTCTGAATGCGACTGGCCGCGACGGGCGCGCAATGGACAAGTTTGCGATGGCGCGCCGATGTAGCGAAATAGTAAGATCCACTAGCGGGCGGGCGCGCGGGCACGATCGCCCAGCGAAAAGGCCCCGCATCCTGCAGTGACTACGCATGATGTCCAGTGACAACGGGACACGACTAGGGCCCGCGCGCCACGACCAGAGCCCGCGGGCCATGACCAAAACCACGGCCAAAGACCACTGGCCTCGGACTCTGGCGAAGCATTTGCCCGCAGTGTTAAGACGTGCGCGATGCGTGCAACCCGCTCACGCACGGGAGCCACCCCGACAAGTTGATTCAGGGAGGTTTTGCCTCTGCGTTGCGGTGCGTTCCGGGGGCAATTGATTTGCCTCTGCGCTCCTCTAGCACGTCAGAGTGTTGTAACTTATACAAACATTGGCTGGGGGTGAGCGAAGTATTGCGTGACGTTCTATAGTGTGACGCCCCGTGGCACAACATCGTTGGTCAAATGGTTGCGCACGCCTACCTTGCATCGTCTCGCTGCACATTCCGTACGTGCGCACGCAACGCAACGCAAACTAAACACAGCACAGCCGCACACAACAAAGCACGGCATCATAATAATGCATACCAAACAAACAACGCCGACCTCCCAGTGCGACGCGCGAGCGTGCTGTCACCGGGCGCGCGTCAGAATCTAGGCACCGCAGGCGAATTTTCGAAGACCTGCGCCCACGGTTTGGCAGATGCGGTCATCGCCCATGGCCAGAAGACCCCGGTGCACAAGGCTACGGGATCCCCTACGCAGCGCCCATGGCCACAGGGTCCATGGTCATAGGGCCCGTGGCCAGTGGACCCGAAACGCAAACCTGCCCCCTCCGGAGCGGCCAGTATTGAACACTCCCGAGATTTTAGCGGCCCGCCCCCGTCGCCAAAATTGGGAAGCGCGAGGAATCATGCTAAGTGTTGAACGTTACGATTTTTTGCATGGTTTGTCTTCCCCATGGGCTAATTTTAACCGGGGTGGAGGGAGGGGGCCGTCAGCTTCACGATTCGCGCTGGTCCTGTGAGGTTTTTTTGTCTGGCATGGCTAATCCCCGACTGGCGCCAGCGCGAATCGTGACGTGACCGGGGGGGCGGGGGCACGGTGACGGGCCGGCAACAAGCGCATGGAATAATCGTGTTGTTGGGGCGCAACACTTCCCCCCGACGCGCGCCCAGTCGCCGCTCCGCCGGGCCGCGGCGGGCGCTGATCAGGAAGGCCTGGGAGCGGGCGGACTTGAACCAGGACGACGCGCGGCTGGCGCAGCGGCCGCCGCCGGCGATGCCGTCGACGGCGGCGGCGGCGGCGACGACGGCGGCGGCGACGATTGAGCAGCCCCTTCTTTGGATTTTGACAAATTCACTTGCGTGGCCAGGGGGGGTGCGCGCCGTTTCGGCCCAACGCTGCTGGAAAAAACGGCGGGAAGGGTGGGACATTCCAGGCAAGCGATCTTTCAGGATGGGAAAACACGCATAGACGCAATGAATCGTCGACTCCCAGGAAAACGTGTGAAAATATTGGAAGTGGGGGGGAATGCGTGGGGAAGCCCGTGAGTTGTGCGTATTTACTTGTGTGTCCCAGGGGCCCCTTTATAGTTCGAGTCTGGAGCAGAGGCGGCCCCCTCTGGCGGCGGTGGCGGCGACGCCGAGGCGGCCCCCCACGTGGAGCGGTCAGGGCCGAAACCTGCGTGGTGTGCGGCGTTCTGGCGGCTCTCTAGGCTCGGGGGGTTCCCAGGAGGTTTACAAACCACGCGCTTGTAACCCAGGGTATCACCACCCACCAATCCACCCCAACCCAACCCGAAGGTCTCAATTTGCCCTCCATTTCCAGTGGGGGGGGGTCGGGGAACATTGAGAAAACACGTATGGAACCCGTACCCCCCAACCCGAAATTCGGGTCTTCGGGTTGGGTTGGGGTGGTCTTTTAGGTAGTCAGGGTAGGGCCGTTTTCTCATCCCTCAATGTTTGAGTCTGAAACAAGCAGCCCGTGGCGGCGATGGCTGCGACGCCAGGGCGGCCCTCCACAGGGAGCGGCTAGAGGCAGGGAGAAACTCGACTTTGATGCACTTCGCCCACCTGGGTCGGCCAACCAGGAAACGGCACCACCCCACCTGCGTCCCGCCATGTTGTGCTACGGCCCATCGGGCGCCGTAGCGTACACCACGCAAAAGCCCATGCCGGAATTCATGGTACATTCAGCCCGCATAGTAAGGATGAACGATTTTCCAGGGCTGTCCGTGCATCCTTCCCCTTCGGCCCATCCTTGGCCGCTTTCGCTTGCCGCGCCCCGCTCGCAGAGTGTCGGCGTGGCCTTTCGAGGCCCTTGCATCCGAATCGTGCGTCCTTATTATCCAGGTTGACTGTTTATACCAAGGCCCGTGTGGCCGTAGGTGGGGTGGAGTCGTTTGTGTTCTGGTCCAGTTGGGGCCTCCCTGGCGCCACGCCTCGTAATTTTCTTCGGGGTTCGAGCTCCTGGTGGGAGCGCGCCGCGGGAGAGATTGGTGGGCCGATCTTGAAAAAGAAAATCCGCCGACCACGGCGACGTCAGCCACGGCGGCGACGACGACGACAGTGACCGTGGACCATGGCGGTGGCGGCGGTGACGACAACGAGGACAGCGACCATCTTGCGAACATGTAATTCGTTTAACAAGCCGGTTAGACCTTGTGTGGCAGTGAAGCATCCCCTCGTTGGGAGTGCCTCTTTTCACACCAGCCCCTGGGAGAAGCACTCAGCATAGAGCGCTTTCCTGAGTGCGAGCAGGCATTCGACCACGGCGCGTGGGAGTACACTGGGAGGAAGTCTCTGGCGGGAGCCATTGTCGTCGTAAGTTGGGCCTCTTTCGACTGAGCTGGATGTCCCGAGATGGGAGAGCCTTTGTGGCCACGGCGTCTCGGAGTACACATGCTGTGGCGGACTCGAGCGGGAGCTGTTGCCGTCGTGGTTGGACCGCGGCCCACTTGACTGACTTGTGAGGTGCCGGGCAAGAGCGCAACTCCTGTGTTCGGGGGCCGCTCTGGCCAGAGCGGTGCGGAGTACACTGTGAACAAGCGTCGAGCGGGTGTAGTTGTTGTCGTAGTTGCGCCGTCGCCAGCGCGGCCGAATGGTGAGAACGTCTCGGGAGGTAATGCATGCTTGAGTTCGAGGGCATCTGTGACCGGGGCGGCTCGGACAAAGTGTGAGGAATTCACAAGAGCGGGGGGATTCTCGTTGCAGTCGGGATTGGCACCCACGCCCGCGTTCGAGCTGGAGATCCGCTTTCAAAGAACATGTTGCCGGCGTCACGGCGAGAGCGCCTGGAAACGCTTCCATATCCATGGACAAGCCCCGCCACCGTGTTTGTGCAATTGAGTGGTGCGTTGAGACGATTTGCATAGCCAGGCTTCGTCGAGACACGATTTGCGTGAGCGGTTTCTCGAAATGGGCAGGTTTGGGTTTCATCATTTGTCTGCCTGGGCTTCGGGAAGGCACCGCTTTCGTCATGGGTGCGCCGAAGTTGGCAAGTCTGCGGGTTGTCTGATTTGAGTCGGGCCTTAAATTCAACATCGTCGGGTGGGTCGCCCTCGACCTCGGCGCGCGGCACGAGGTCGAGTTTACGCCCGCGGCAAGTCAGCGAGCGGTCTGAGTTGAGGCGGGTCGTGAACTCGACCTCGCTTTTATGGGGTTTTCGATTCTTCCTCTGGGCATCATTTGACCGTTTGGGGATCATGGGGGCCTCGTGGGTGGCTCCTGGGGCCACTCGGGGACACCTTTGGGGCCCCAGGGCGCGCTTTGGGGGGCATGCTGGGGCTGCCGGGTGCATCTGTTGCGGGGAAGGTTCTCGAGGCCAGCGCGATGTCCCCCATCTTGGGCCCCGTATTCGTATACTACCCATCAAGTCCTCCCAGTATGCTCGCGATCACACCTTGGCGGGGCAAGGAACACTTCAGAACGATGATCGATGGACGCGTTGACGACACGGCAGACAGGCACGTCCCGAGATGTCGACCTACTACCGAAGCGCATGCTCAGTGGATGGCCTCTCATTGCCATCAAGACAAACACGGAGGACACCAACGGAGTCGAACCATTGATATTATTACTGCGAAGGCCTTACGGTTGGTGCCGCCGACCCTGAATATGAGGACGTTGACCACGACGAGGTAGAAGGAGGAGAAGTAGGACGAGCAGGGAGAGAAACCGCATGAGGAGGAGGAGGGTGAGGAGGACGGGGAGGAGGAGGTGGAGGCAGAGGTTCAGGGGAGGGGTGGGGGGAACGGAGTCGAATCATTGAGATTATTATTTCTGTAGTAGCGGCCAGAGGCAGGAGAACGTTCGATCCTTTTTCTGGAGGCAGCGGTGGGTTGCACACCACAGGCAGGATAGCCAGCCAGGACGTGGTATGTCAAATGGTTAAAGTTAGTATAGCAGGCGGCCGAGTCAGGAGCCGACCACTGCATGACGGCATCAAGATGGCAATTGCGAAGCTTTGTTCGCCAGCGGAACCCATGCTTCACACCATCGCGGTGAGCTGGAACTTGCCACGCGCATAATGGAAGGACTTTGCCAAATCGCCACCGCCGCATCCTGAGCAGCAGGACGTCCCCGAAATGCTGATCGGAGGCCTGGACAAAGGAAACCACGGTGACAAGGACAAGAGCAGGAACCAGGGCTACCATGATGAAATACGGTGACAAGTGCTACCCTGGAAAAAATGCGGCAACAAGGGCTGCCATATTCAGTGTGGCGAAGGCTACCAGAATTGCGGCAGCAAGGGCCAGCAGAACTGCGGCAACAAAGGGCTACCAGCGTTACGGGAACAAGGGCTACCAGAGCGGAAGGAGCAGCAACGGAAACAGATACAGCAGCAGGAGCGGCCAAGAATTGCTGATCGGAGACTTGAAGCGAAGGTGGCGATTACAAGAACATCAGCAAAGGCTACCATAAGGAAATGCGGTGGCGAGAGCCACCAGGGAAATACTTGCAGCAAGGAGGCCCCCAGATGTGGTCCGGCACGGGACACCAAAATTACGGCAACATGGGCCGCAGGACTTACAATGACAAGGCCTGCACGCGTGATGAAAAAACTAGCATGGCGGAGAATGCAGTCACGGGAGAAAGCGGGGCAGCAGGGGCGACGATAATCTTGCCGGCGGCGGGAACGGCAGCAAGGGCGGTTACAGCATTAGACCCACGAGTGCCTTCGCTTCGTGAATATATGTGAGGTGATGTTGGCAGTGGGGCCCAAAGGCATCACGCTGTTCTATTCGAGTGGGTGCCAGAGTTTCCTCGCGGGCGCAGCTGGCGCAAGCAATGCTGCTGAAGATGATACGGTCTCGGCAGAGTAGGCCGTCTAACGCGGCGCCAAGATCACCCCTGCGTTTGGCACCATCGTCGCCATCATCAATCATCACCATCTGCGTCCCGATAGATTTGGGGTCGACGGCGGAACCAGAGCCGATCTGCGACATCAAAGCAAGTGAAGAATCTTCGCCGTGCCCATTGGGCCCGGCGACGGGCCGGATTCTAATCTTTGGGAGTCGGACGTCGCGCCGTTGTGGTAGGTGCCTGACGTCACCCCTGCAGGTGGCGAGACCACGGAGGACTGTTTGGCCTGTGGTTTTGGCCCTTCTTGTTCCAGCATGGCCGACATGGTGGGGGAGAGCGTCCAACACGCGATGCTCGACTCGAGCAGACGAAGCAATGCGTGCAAGACGACGTTCGCCCTCGAATGCGACGCGGGCGACGCAGGGGGGCCCGGGGTCCGAGAAGAACAGAGCGGCGTTTTCAGGGGCCGCGGCAATATACCTGTCGTGTTCGCCTCGATCGGAGACATCGGCCAGGTTATGATTGGGATCAGGTTAGGCGCTGCAGATCTCGGAAAGACTGCGCTCCCCAGCGGCAGCGGTCATTCCGGCGGTTTCGATTGCCGTCGTTGCCCGCGACGGCCACGCATGTTGGGCTGAGACGAACGGCGAGCGAGTGCACCGCATCGATGGGGGATTCCGAATGCAGCGGCACGGTCGATTGCGTCAAAGTGAACGCCAGCATGGCGCGGCCAGGAGAGGATAATCCCCCCATGGTTGGGGGGGCGGGCCGGCGCCCCGAGAACGCGGGTGCGCGCGACGTAGATCGGATGGGAGTTCAGGGCAGGTTGTGGCGGCCAGCTCGCTTGTCGACCCGAGACGGCCGTCTCCGCGACTCATCGGTAGCAGCGGCCTGGCGCGCTGCCCAGCGGCCCCGCGGCGCGAGAAATTCGCCGCGGCA